TTGGTTTCGACGATGTTTATGTTTATTAAATGAGATGCCAATTTATTTTTGAACTTTAAAAGGTATCAAATTATCAAATATGCTTAAATACATAAATATGTGCACACGATGGCAATTGATTGCTTCGAAACTTTTTTTATTTTGAAAAGTTTGATACTTGATGACTGGTCACTATAATTGTCAGAGAACTTGATGTATAAGTTGTATTAAAAATGAATAAGCGCATTTTGGCAATATTTACTAATTAAAGTTTTTTCCTGTTTATTTTTAATTTTTTTTTGTCATTTAAACTCTTATCTTCACCTAAAATAAAATATTAGATCATGATAAATTGCAAACATATTAATTGATTTTTTTTCTTTATGTTTAAAATCAAAATGAAATACAAAAATCTGGAATCAAAGTGATCCCTCGGAAGCATTAATCACAACAAAATTACATAAGAATTGCAAAAATTAGTAACCAATGAAATTTAAATCATACAATCATATACCATATAAAATGCATCGTTTCTGTTTGAGATGGGAAAAATGTATAAAGGAGATAATTCACTCATATTGATTGTTATTACACAAAACAAACAAAATTAAAATATTATCAAGCATTTGACAAAAACATCATTGAGGTCATGCCTAGTAAGCATTTTTGGAAAAAAAATGATATCTTTAATAATTAAAATCATCCTATTAAAGGTAATAGGATTCTTCATTTTGTTTATTGTTAGCCATTAAACGAAAAGACATGCTTATTTGCAAATGCTAGATAATCTTTAGGTAAGAACTGGAAAAGATTGCAAATAAAATGATAAGCTGTTATTCTCGTTTCACAAACTTCCCTGTAACTAAGTCTGCTTCTTACATCCACAAACCCATTTATTATTTCTTTTATAGAGGTTAATTCATAAAAAAACATTTAAACCAAGATATGCTATTCTAGTCGTTTTTATTCATTTACTTCAAAAGAAGCTGATAACTATAGTTTTAAACGTTTACATAAGATAACATTTTATGAAAGCATTTAAATAAGTTTAATCTATGTCTTTGTTATGTTAAGAAACATACTCTTTGTCTCATTTTGATTTCATTTCAATACATGTTTATTAATAGGTGAATGCAACCTCACGTTTCGTTAACAGTTTTGTTCGTATGCTTTAGACCAACAAGTACGAAATCATTTGACAGCTATGTTTTGAAAATGAAACTAACGGGGCCGTCAATGGATTAAACTAGTTTTAAATTGCACCCTGATTCATGCTCCTTGAAAAGTTTAACAACGGCGCTTGTTCATGTGATTTTATCTGTTCGTGCGTGTTTTCTTCTCCGTAAGTATATACTTACGTGTGCAGTTTTTTAAACATGCATTTTCGAGGTCGTTAGAATACTACTTTTCTCGAGATTTTCGATCCAGTATATTAAAATTAGATTTTGGTATTAATGTATAGACAGCTTCTCAATCCGATGCAAACGAATACTTTAATTACATATTTTTAGATATAATTATACCTCAAATTTTGATAAATTTATCAGAAATACTTATAACTCAATTTGATCAAAACAAGATTGATTAAATCATATAAGATGATTTCCTCAAGGGTATTGATATACCCCATTTTAAGTATCTATTCTATTTTTATATTTTATTAATATTATTATCATTATAATTATTATTATTATTATTATTATTTTGATGTAAGAAGTTATAATTTTGTCATATGTCATCATATTGTTGAGCGAACTTAAAATATACTCGTATGTTTGAGTATAACCTTCTAAAACATAAAATGAATTAAATTAATCGTTTTACAACTCATATAGTAAGTAAACACACATTTTTTCTTAATATACATTGTGTAAATAAAAACAACATTCACAAAGTTCATCCTAAAGTATTAGAATTGACAATTGTCAATTTTATTTTGATGTACTAACATCATTATGTATTATAATCGTTTTCATATATTTTGTTTTAAATTAGCATTTTCACTAGTTTAAGACGGAAATATGACTCAATTAATATAAGCCGTCCTCGTATGACTCTACTATTACTAGCTGGATTGATTGGTCAAATTGGTACTGCAGGTAGGTAAAAAACCGTAAAAAATCGTATGTTAAAATCATGATGTTATCATAATGCTTTATGGTTTGTTTATGAAAACTAAGATATCAGAGACGACATGTACTAGCACTGGAGGCGAATGCATCCTAAATTCAGAATGTGACACAGGAAAATTCAAGTGTAAATGTAGTGATGGTTTTGTAGAAAATACACCCGACAGAACTTCATGCGTTTCCAGAGGGAATCAAGCTCACACAAGTAAGTAAATAAGCAATTTAGAGATACTTATTGATACTTTTTTGCGCATTTCTTTGTCTCATTAACTCTTTTACACAATATTTATGCGAATGCTGAAAAAGCATTCTGAAAAAGATAATGTGATTTGATAATTATAGATATTAGAACCACTTAGTAACTTTTTCTTTCTAAAAGTACGCGAAAATGTATTCGGAGTGACTTATTTTCCCATTTCTTGTTTCATATTCTTTTCACCTCTCGTCAGTACTAATGTTCTAAAGAATGTAGCAAAATGTAGTTTCCATTCTTCAAAATGCAGACTACGTCATTTACCTGAATAGGTAATGACTACAATGGTTTACGTCTTAGAATCTCTAATTAATACTGTTTTTCTTCTTTCTTGTTTGTTTGTTTGTTTTCTTGTTTGATAATTGATTTGTGTAACATGTATTTATCGTGTTTTAAACGATGTCCGAATTTCGTAAGGATTTATTTTTCTTGTAAAAAGTGTATTATTTACATTACTTCCTAATAATCAATGTATAACTAAATCATAGTCGTATCGGCTTATGCAATAAAATAGAGGGGGAAAGGGAATCCTTAAGATCACCCATAACGACAAAATTGAAAATGTTGCAAGCTAGGTTTGATTGACCCTGTTATGGACGGTTATGAAAAGTGCAAGTTACCGTCCACGCAGCCTAGCACCGGCTTAAACAGAAATCAACATTTAAACACGAAAATGATGAAGCCTAATGTCTTTGTCAATAAACTATGAATATAGACAGCGATAAAACGATTTTTATACAGCTTATTTAAGTTATATGACAACAACTGGAGAAAGAGTGATCGGAAGCATTTATCACAACAAAATTATATGAACATTTCAGACTCGGTTCAATTGAGCCTGTACATGAGCGATAATGAGCAGTGCAACATGATCCCTCATTCCAATAGAACTGGCTTGAGTGGTACTCAATTTGCAACACTACCGTCTATTTTGTATAGATCATAAAATCCTTGCCGTTACAACTTTTTTGACATGTTCAAAATAAGTGAACGGCATGGCAGGTACATCGCAATCTGTTTTATTATTAGTCCTACAGGTTCCAATACTTTTACTTTTGGTATTTTATAACCGTTTCAATCCGTTGCTTTGGGAGGTATGGTGAATGATGTTACACGTTTTATCATGTTTAATAAATAGACCGAGTTTGCAATATTAATGAATTTATTTATATCATTCGCTCCCTCTTTGTTCTTTGATCAGAAACTGCAATCTAAAAAGTTTTTATTTGCCTGCAATGTTCAAGATTTAAAAAAATGACAATCTGAAATGGAGATTATAAAAAAAAATGACCGGATGACGTACTATATTTAAAATAGGATTATTATATTTTTTGTTGAATGTGTTCCCTAATTTCGATGTCAAGTTTAAGGAGATCGTCATTATCTTTATTAAGAAAGAGTATCTGAAGTTGAAGTGAAGCATAATTATTAAACAAATTTAAATTTATAAAAAATAAGTAATTATTCCACTTTTCAGAAATCTCGACTACAAATTGTGTTTTCGCTTGGTTTATGTCGTTTTCATCAATAGACAACTCAGAACTTTAGCTATAAACACCTTATTTGATTTCAAATTTGTTATTATTACTAAAATTCTTGTAAGGGTTCAAATATATATGTTGTGAAATAAACTGCATGTTATGGATAATAATGGGAATAGCTTCAATTTTATTTTGTTTAATATGCCCTTTTTTGATGAATATTGCTAAAGGTTAACTTACTGAAGCAAAGTTAAAATGCATGTTCGGTGCATGTTGGACAACATTTTTTAAAATGTGCATAATGACTGAAGAATAAAATATAAAATTACAAGAGATATTTTTAAACAAAGAATATTCCATTAAACTCCTGAGCTGCTTTTGAGAGCTTAAAACTAACCTCTAGGGACAGATAATTAAAACGATGGGGATGATTACCAAAAACTATAATTTTTCATTAATTTGTTTAAAAACAATTTTCTTTACCTATGAAAAGTTTCCGAAATCATCGCCGCTAGTTTGATTTTTCATTCTTGCCCGCTTTAAAAATGAAGAAACTAAATGTATACGTCTTTACACGATAATACAAGTATGAATTACCTATTACATGTATTTGACAAGTTCAGTGAAATAGAAGAAGAGTATATTGTTTGCATTTGGAGTTATTACAATAACTATGGCAAGGAAACCATAATTCATTGAATGTATTTAATGAACAAAACCATTTTTATAAAAGTTCTTTTATAAGTCATTGTACATATGATATAAAAGTATGCTTCTTGAAAATTTCAAATTTCTTTGCTTCGTCAGCGCATATTCCTCTGTGCTCATTATATGGCAAAGAATACCTTTTTCTATATTTTCACAATCGGCTGATACCATATATTAATATAGATATATATATATTTTATTTGGATTGTCAATAGAGGATATTCAAGTTTTTTTTTCTATTAGTACTTTTTTAACGAAGCGGTATGACCATACATATTTCTAGAGTGATATTAGTTTTAAAACGCTTTATTAAGTTTCTAAACAGTTGATAAATTATCAGTGTGCCATCAAAAGGGGGAGTTATATTATCGACGTTTTTTATATACATTTAAGCGTTACATAACAAGCCATGCACATCACCCAAATAGTGTGGTGATTATGCTGAATGTATTCAATCAAAGTGTCGATGTAGTGCAGGATTCAAGAGGAACTTTGACACATGTGTTGCAGATAATGGAGGTATTTTAAAATGCCACTTTTCTTGAGTTTTCTACACATATATCTAATACCACTAGTGTGCTTTAATTAAATAATTTTTTCTTTTACATATTTTAAACAACGTTTATATTTACTTTAATTTACAAAATATGAGTATTGATATATAATCACTGAATGAAAACCTTTTAAACGTTTATTTTAGAACAAAAAAGAAGACTCAATTAAGTCGTGTTTTTCTAAATTAAGGAATAAGTAATAGTTAGAGTATATGAAACGAGTTAGTTACGAGAGTATAATAAAGGCTTGGCGACATGGAGGGATACAGCTGCTCTAAACATAAATGTCGATGCCGTAAGGCCGAGACGATTTTTCCTTTTTTCAGAAACATCTCAAGATGTTGTCCCAACCTGTGCTATACTCTCGTAAATAACGAGTGTTATATCATAATAACTATTTTATCGCAATGTTAAAAGGGAAAATATTCGGTACATAACACAACAACTAGGCTAAAGTTTGTAATAAATCGATTTTGTTTTTGTTCTTTTGTCTTGTCTTTTATTTATATTTATTTTTGTGGCATTGAGATCTGCCCTTGACCGTCCGTTCGTGCGTTCTTATGTTGTGTCGCGTATAGCTCAAAATGTGCTTGAGTACTTGAATAAGGTCAATAAAATTTACAGGAATGGTGATCAGCATGTGAAGTTGTGCACCTTGGTTTTGCGTGTAGATTGATTTAGTTTCGTTATTCGAATTATTGTCCTTTACCTAGTAAAGAATTGGAAATTTTCAATTTGTGTTGTGCATAGCTCAAACGTATTTGACTTAGATGAATGTTGGACAGCATGTGGAGTTGTGGATCTTGGAGTTTGCGTGTTGATATATTATATACTTGAGTATATACTGCTTTTGACCTAGTAAACCTTTGCAATTTCAGCACGTGTCGCACATAGGAATATTGGTCCTGCACTTGGGTTTTGCATATGGACTAAAGCAGTTTTGTCATTGACCTTGACTTAGTAAACATTTGCAATTTTCAACTTCTGTCGCATGTTCCCAAAAATGTTTGACTTAGAGTCAGGAAACTGTACAGAAATGTTGGTCAGCATTTGAAGTTGTGCACCTGGGGGTTTCTTGTATATTTATTCGGAATTTGTAGAGTAAGTGCCCTTGACAAAAAGTTTTAAAATGTTGTGTCATGTGTACATGTACCTCTAAAAGTGGTTGTGCTAAAATCAATAATTTAAACAGGAATGTTGATCAGCATGTGAAGCTGTGCACCCTAGGTTGTACATGTGGAATTACTGTTTTGTAAGAGTTATTGCCCTTGACTTAGTATAAATTTGCAATGTTCCATGTGTGATGTGTAACTCAAAGATTATTTGGCCTTAAGTCATGGAAGTTTACAGGACTGTTGGACTGTTGTGCAAAAAAATAGTATGTGTACATTAGGAAAATTGGATGTTTTATGCCCGAACCACCTAGGGCTAGGGGGAGTCATGTAGAATTTCCCTTTGTTTGTCCCTCTGTCATATTGTCCTGCTGTATATTAGTAGACAATGGAGTGTGGGATACACCTTTGCCATATGGACACATTTCTAGTGTGATTTTGTTTTTTGGGGTCAGATTATCATTTGTACCGTCCAACACTGTTTCTTTCCTTTTCGTGTCTTTAACATTTTAACGCTTTGTTCCCTTTGACCACTTTAACGTGTTACATTGAAAATGTTTCTTGATGTTCAGCTACATATTGTATAATATAGCAAGGTATGTACTAATGTTTCTTATGATCACTTAGGCATTCGGTATTAGTTATTATATCACTGCGAATCTTGACATTACATCATGTTTTATCAAATCACATATTAATTATAATGAAACATAATTCGACAAAATTAAATGCATTATTTAATATTTGAATTACACATTTAATACGATGGAAATCTATATTGGTGTCCTTATTATTTTATGTTCGATAAGTTTTAGATAAAATTGTGTTCTGCGTTGCAAAAAGCTTTACATTACTTGCTTAAAATCGTTAGATTTTTATAAAACAAACACTATGTCATCTAATGTTCACATTTGATTTTTATGTATATGTATATGCAGACACTATGTCATCTGGCGTATATAATTGATATTTATGCGTATAAATGTAGGCATAACATTATTAATATTCTACAAAAATAGTGTGCACTAATTAACCCTTTCACTGCCATAGGGACGGCTTAAGCCGTCCTTGTTATTTTCGGCGTATTTGCCATATGGACGGCTTTAGCCGTTTCTATAATAATAGTAGTAATAATAATAAATCAATTATAATAATAATAAAAATAATAATAAATATAAAGAAAATTATACCATCGACAATAATTACTATTATACTCACAGATTTGGAAACATATATAATTATTATAATACTAATAACAAATAATAATAATTATATTAATTAGTAATATAGTAATTTCTTAGAAAACCCTCTGGCAAATAGGTAATCAGTAAAACAATAACCCTCTGGCAGCGAAAGGGTTAAGTACGTGATTTACCGTTATTTTAATATGTTTTTCTTCTATAGGTGCCACGAAAACCCTGACATTTGCAATACTGGCAATTCCTTTAGTGCTGGCGATGAGAGAGGCATTTGGATTGTTTATGTAGAGTTCATAAACATTTGTTTACATGTACGAATGTGTTATTTTTATACAAAGAATCTGTAAAATAACCCGACATCTTTTCACTGTTTATCTTTCTGAAATGCTGAAATGTTTCAAATTCCATCCAATAAACACTCGTATAATTTACAACGCCAGAGCTCTTACTACGCTATATTATACCGTTAATCCTTTTGCCGTCCACATCCCACGACTTAAGCAATCATAATTATAAAAGACACTCTAACTCTCAAACACTATCGACATTTAAACAAACTATCTCCCCTTACATTCAAAAGGTACTGAAATATTTCTACTATACGGCACTCAGATTTTGTACACACGTCTATGGCTCAACTGCAGCTTATTGGCCGAAGACCTTTATTCTTACAACTGATCGTCACTTTTTCCCCGATTGTCCTATTAATCAGAAAATTACACACAATGCATATACTGTTTACGCATATACTTTTATTTTGTATCAAATAATCTATTTTTCGGTAGCACGTTACTTATAGACTCAGATAATGAGAAAATAGTTTCTGTAGTTGACAAATATATTGCACAAAGTCGAATTGATTCGACTCATTAATACTTTTCAGTCGTCATTGAAGATAAAATGACAGGTCATACCTCATGTACCTTCTGTTTATTCTTTCTTTTTTATTTTGGATAATTTTTATAGTTAATTCATTTTTATTGATCTAACACGGCTCAGTATATTCTTTTTGCGACGTTAGATAAAACAAAAAAGTCATCTACGTCAATTTATGACAAAATTATTTGCCCTCCATTTAACAAACATACTGTTTGCTGTGGTGCAGTTGTTAGTACACTGAACCGGAAAACCGGAGACTCGTGGTTCTTTTGAGTCATTGATGTTAAAAAAGTTTTTTTTTCCATTTCAGAAATGTAAAGATATATAAAGATTTTGAACATTGTTACTGATGTTACACTTCGAATCAAATTTTCAAGGATCGAATGTGTTGATTTTAATTTATTCTCAGCTGTGTGATTTTTTCTGTTTCAGAAATTCTATGTGTAGTTTAGAATAGACCTGCGTTTTAATTTTAATGTAATTTATAATATATTGTAATTTTATATGGCATCAATAAATTCTTGACAGTTTATTTAAATTGAAGTTCTTTTACATATATTTGATTATCAAATATAACAGAAATATTTGTAAAATTAATTAACGAATTCGCCAATACATCTTCTTGTTCAAATCTAGGATTTCCTATGTTGAATAGAACTTCAATCTAAATTATTTATGAAAATAAGGAGATATGATCAGATTTGAAAAGAGTTTTTGTTAATTATATGTATATATATCAGACAGAAATACAATTGAAAAGTGCATAAATTATATTTTGTTATTTGATTGAATGGTCAAATCTAACTTGCTTCTGAGGGACTCAATTTCCAGACTTTTTTCCATTTTTGTTCGGCGCTTCCAGATTCAACTGAATCTTTATTAAGAACATTTTAATTGAAATTAACTTCATTGTATCTCATACTTTGTTTACATTTTTTGAACATGTTCATTGGTTTTGTTTTGTTTTTGTTGTTGTTTTTTCAATTGTTTTTTACTGGAAAACAACTCATACTAAAGCAGATAAATGTTAGATTAATCTGTACATGTACCAAATATATTGACTATGAAGAATGATATGCAGACACCCTTGACTCATGAAAAACTCAGATTGTATCTCTTCAAATGTGTTAAAACTTGTTTCATTTCTTTGTTTGGAATTGTGTTTTGTGCTGCATGCTTGTCCCAATCACTTTTTTGCTCTTACCAAATTCCCTCTTTGTAATCTACCACAATACGTACACTTTTATATATCTCTCATATACTGTAATATATCATTGTTAAACCAAAGCATAAATGAATGACACATCCAGAGTGAAACATACCGTCTCAAAATCAGTGATATACTATTCTTGTTGTTAACGTCATTTAAGGAAGAGTCATAGATATATTGTATTCACACTTTAAATATTTTGTTCGCTGTATTAGTTCAATAAAGAGAGCATCGGATTTGTAATATGAGGGTTGCAAGAACTATATTCGGGCGAAGCGAGAAATGATCTCTGACATTCAATCTGATGGCCTTTTGTCTCTCATCAGTCAGAAATCATGCTAGATAAATTAATCGGTCGATTGCTGAGAAATTTGTAATTACTAGGAAGTTATCAAGAAAATTCAGTTAAGTGGACCAATGAACAAGATATGCAAAAATATGTTAGTTGACGGAAAAACAGATACACAATCAAACAAATAACGTTTTATAACTGAACTACTATTTTATATATTTTTATATAATAGTTTCTTTTTCACGAGAGAGTTTTCGTTCATTTTGCATTAATAAACACATTATTTTTTGTTTTGAAAACTCTATGCTGCAAATGTTATGATTTTTTTATTAAATAACATGTTAGATTAAACGACTTTATAGATATCAATACAATTTAAGAACGGGAACACAATTATCATATATTTAATGATTTATAAAAGTTGATAAATGTCAGTGGCAATTTTCAAACGAATGTCGTAGTCTTCGACTAAAGGCTTCTGTATTCAGCTTGTCTTATGTTTCTTCGTGTTCGAGAAAGTCTCGTTTGTTTCCGACCTATTCTTAACGAACCTATCAATGAGTCTAACTTTATGTAGCGAGTTTTTGTTGTTTTATTTGTGATGTGCCAAAGTTTTGACGTGGTCCATGCAGAATAGTTCGAGAACATTTTACCATAAATTAATCGAAGTCGTTCGATTAATAAACACCTTCTTCGGGTTGTTTGAAGTAAACAACCTTACTTTAGATTAAAAGAAACGTTCAGAATTGCTCATTAAGAAAACAACATAATTCGTTTACACATTTCCAGGTCCACGTCATAGTGATATTAATTGGGCAATAATGCATACGCATATAATGTCTTAGACTAGGATCATTTACTTTTCTTTTAAAGGCGTATGTTACAGTTTTTTATAAAGACAACACAACCAATCTGTACTACAAATTTATTTGAATAAAAACACATTTTGAAATGTCGTTTGATTATTATTGGAGTATCTTTGTCGTTGGCCTCTTAACAATCTAAACGTGGTATCATATTTATTACTGTTTCCACTAGACAGCCGACAACAAATTAGATGGGATATCAACCCAATTGCCGAAATTTCCCGATTTTGATTATGAACTGTAATTGTTATTTACGATTTTGATTTCGGTATCAATCTTATTTCCGAAAATAAAGAGAATTGTACCAACATGTATATTGTCGAATGTTGTTTGATATAAGGCTATAAAAAGAAGTTATAAATATACATATGATATATGTACATATTTCCTTTGAACATGTTTTGTTTAATACAATTCTTTATATATAACCTTCGACATTTACCTTTTTCACAATCTGTTTTTTAGTAATTACGGACAGTTGAGTATCTCTAAAAATCTACTGATATTAAAGATCTTCTTATTTACGATAGGTTTTAATATAACAGCATAATGTTTTATTTCAGGAAGCAATGGAAATACTAAATACGCAAAACAGAGAAATTGTTATGTATTTGTATGTTTAAATCAAGTTTTCAGTTCTTTTTACTCTTGCACACAATAAAACACCACTACAACAAAAACAAAGACAAAAGAAGAAAGCCATCTTAGGTATTCTGTTAAAACAACCTGGAAAAAGAAAGATATGATTGTTATTAAACATTCTTGTTTAATTCTTTTGACATGTTCATGAAATATGCATTACGTTAATAAATATTACATAAATCAGCTAATCCTTACTGTCATGCTATAAAATACTCTTCACATGATACACTGATGTACTTACTATATTGCCATTGTCTCTAAAAAATTAAAGCTGCCAGAAGAGACAGTACCATCGAAACAACACCGAAATTCATCAAGGCCGCTATAATCGAAATGAGATAAAACGATGATAAATGATGTAAAATACTTATGGAAATAGCGTCGTTTTAAATGTAACAAAATGTATTTATATTCAATATCAAAGTGAAACTTCTGAAATCATAACAACCAAATACTGTAATAGAATTCAAAACTACTATCTTGCAAACCTGAATAATATACCGTTTCATATGACTATGACTAGTTATTGGAAATGTCTGTAGATAGTGAGTACTTACGCTCGGTTAAATCGCGTTAAGATGTTTACTTAACAACAGTTTTACTCATTAGAACAATATGTAAGTTTGTATTATAATCAACACAGATCTTATGAAACTCTGTTTTAAGAATTAAAAGTAATCTTTATTTATTAATCATATTTTTTATCATTAATCTAACTGATAACCAATTGTGATTAACAAGAACATGTAGAGTACACACTTACCAGAATTATTTTTTTCCGGGTCACATTTGTTAAAATTCATGATGAAACCTGTGTTACATTTACATTTCTTAGACGTGGCGTCACACGTTGCATTTTGAATAGTGTCACATGCTGTTGAAACTGATGAGCAATCGATTCCATTGACGTCTGAAAATTATTGATTTATTTACAGTGTATATGTAACGCTGTGCTTACGTAAAAAGTACCAAGAAGGCAGCATAATCTCTAAAAATGAGGGTGATTATCTGTTATACATTTAGGTTTATTTATATAAGAACTAAACAAGAAAAAAATGAGACAAATGAAACTCTTTTTCCCAATAATAACCCTTGTAATAACTTAAAGAAAAACATATTTTTCATCAGAATGTGACGTTTTTGCAGTTATATGCTTTTGTTAATCGACATATACACACTTTGACGGGTTAAGAACATAATACGGAAAAAACATATTGCCTATGTTATATATTTTTATCATATTTACTTTGTGTACAAACGTCATTCTTTGCAGCATAGCCTGCTTTGCAAACACACTTATCACCTTTGCATTCTGCATTTACATCACCAGGACAAGCTTTATCGACTGCTTTGCAATCGCGTCTGAGAACTGAAAGCCATGACTATTTATGTTACAACTGGTAGTACAATAACTCAAAATTTGCTAAGGATCACCTTTTTGACATTGCATGTTTCAGTCCTATTCAGTCATCTTAAAATCATATTTCCTTGCACAAATAAGCAAGTGGAAAAGCATACCCATGGAAATTCGGTGTTTTATGGCCATATGCTTTTTTTAAAACGCGTACAAGCAGCAAGACTTCTAACGTTTTCAACGACTCAAGCCATGGACCGATTTATTGTCCTTCAGGCCAGGCGCCAACGCTTCTCGAACGCTACGACCTTACGTAACGACGTCCAGAATGCAACTGGTGTGCGTGTAAACAAATTGTTAGAAACAGGTTGCATGATGCTGGGTTGAGGTCACGGAGGCCAGCAATTTGCATTCCTTTTGACACAACTAGTATTCAAGAGCGTTTGCAATGGGTGCATACTCATATCACATGGAGAGTTAATGATTGGGCCCCGGTCCTCTTCACTAAAGGTTTTGGGTGGACTTCACAGACAGACGGACTAGGGTTTGGAGAATTCCTACACATCATTTAAAACGGTACACTGACGGCAGTAAGACACATCAATTAAATCTTAGACGTCCATGTACGCACGTACGCTGGCGCAGTCGGCCCTGATTTCATTCTTATGGATGACAACGCCCGTGAACACAGAGCCCACATCACAAAGCGATATCTTAAGGAGACAGCTATAGTCCGCATGGATTGGCCAGCAAGGTTCCCGGATATAAATCCAATTGAGTATGCTTGGGATATGCTGCAGAAAGCCATTTCTTAACATAAAGTCCATTACGCTCACCAGCAGCATGCGACGGCGATGCCAGGTCTTAATTAAGGCTCATGAATAACATACTTGGTATTTAACACCCTACGCCAACCATTTCCTGATTTCCTGATCAAGGTAATGATTGCATGGGAATTTTAACCTTTGGGTTATACACAATATTACAAACCAATATAAAAAATATTATAAATCAATAATGTAAGCCACATTTTGACAATTTTCTCAAATGAGCGCGCGTGTGTGGGCGCGCGCGAATATGAGTGAAGATTATTATTATTAATGTTCTGAATTTAAGAAATTAAGGATACTTACAAGGATATCATCAAATGTAACAAATACTTGAAATTAACTCTTATTTTAAGTGTTATTTAAATGTAACAATTTGTTGACTATTCATACTTTTATCAACATAGCGTTTATCAACATAGATCGGGTCATTTAATTATAAACCTAATATGTACACTACATGTCGGCAAAAACTTTCAAGCGGGATTTATTTAAAATGTTTCTTATTATCAAATTATCAAAGAATAATACTTCCTAATGCACGTAAACGTATTTTCTTGTAAAAACGACCAAATCTTCACAGAAATAAAGAATATGTATAAATTAGTTTTGATAATAAACTTTTTAATTGACATTTTAATACAGAAATTCAGTAATTTTTAAAGCAATCGAGCAATACAAAATTCATATTAAAAGAGACAATAACGTCTACGAACCTCGTGTATAATTAAGGACATTAAGAGACACAACATACAATTAAGTGCATACAGGATGCGTTCTAACAAATGACTGTAATCGAATGTACTAGATTCGTTATATTCAACATGTAGTGAGAGATGATTTACCTTTTTGGCATGCTCCATTTTCTTTAATGAATCCGGTTTTGCAAACACACGTGTCAGTTTTACACTCTGAATTGTCTACCGTACATTCATCTGCCGCTTGGGCAGCTGGAGGTGTACAACTTGCGCCCAAGTCTAAAGTATTGGTCTGAATTTTTATTAGGTATATGCACCGTAAGTTTGATACCAAGATTAAATGAAATTGATAAATGAAATGAATAAGACTAATAAATATTACCATAAGATTATACACTTTCTTGCATAAATTTACAGAGGGGTTTTAAATATTTGATTTCGCAACAATAGTCTTTTTATTTGTATTTTCACTTTATTTATACTACCTGTTGTTTCGCCATAGATAATGAAAATACCCAGTAGGAGAAAACTGATCATCAATGCAGGTACTAGCGACTGAAAATTGGAAATTAAATGCAAATAATCAAAATAAATAGTTAAGTTTTAACATATTCTTATTTAATCCAACATTATTTTACATAAAAACATAAAAAAAACAACATTTTCTAACCTGAATTGCATTATTGATATTCCGGGATAATCACTTTAAAAATACTAAGATGTTTTTCTATTTTAACCCGCATGCAAAGATATTTTGCTTAAAAAATAAATTTTAAACAGCCCTTTTTAAACAGGAAATAAAACCTTAAAATGTTAAATAATTTAAAAATTTTGCATTTCTTTTCGGGTTTTTTTTCACATACATTCAATAAAAACAAACAAAAAAAAAAAAAGTTATAAAAAACAAGCAGTTTTAAAAATCTTTTGAGTTTATCTAAAAAAAATAAACTTTAAAAACTCTTCTAATTTTATTTCAACCATTAAATTTTTAAAGACTTTTTTCGAGGTCACATACAAAGCATAATTTCCCCAATTTTTTTTTGAGTAAACATAAAAAGAAGATAAAAAACTTTTGGGGGGTTAAAAAGTAACTAGTTTTGAAAGACAAATTTTTCCTTTTTCTTACATAATTACATTGGAACATTTTCCCTTTTAAAATTTTTCATACAAATATTACTAACCATTTTAAATTTTATTTTTTAATTTTTGAAAAAAAAGGGAAAAAAGCAATTAGCAAGGGGCATAAAAAAAAACGTTATAACCATCTCCGAGTCAACATATAAACATATATTATTTCTATTTTTTGAGTCCATATTAACATTATAACTATTTGTTAGTTAACATAAACAAGCTTTATATCCATTTTCTTGAATAATATGAACAAGCATTATAACCAAGTTGACATAAAAAAATGTTATTCAAATATCTCAGTATGAAAGTTAAAACGAAAAAAATCTGTACACATCTACAGACGAAAATCAAAACGAAACACAAAGGCGTTGTACTGTTGTACAGATATCATACATGAAACTTTCATTCTAATCCAGTTCAAATGCAGTCTTAATATTCACATACAGTGTGATGTTTTTGCTAAAGCAAATGTAGTTACGTTGTATTTTACCTTTTAACAATAATTCGTTTGTTATCCTAGATAATATACATCATTAAAAGACTATTATAATCTTGGAATAGTAATAATGAAATTAAGCAGGCCGAATCAACTGAGCATAGTTCTATTTGAATGTGGTTTTAAAGTAGTAGAACAAAAGCACAGATTGAAGGATAGGCATATTAAAATAAAAAATACATAGGATAAAGAATTGTAATAATTGTTTATAAATTGATACAAATATTATAATAATTTATTACATACATATCACGACGTTTTAAATATTTTATTTTATATTTAAGTGACGATATGAAGAAACAATTAAAGAATTGCTCAATTTATTGTCTATTCATCATGGTGTAACATTTAATATAACCAATAGGTTTAATTATAATTACATCGGAATTTCAATATTATATTATAATAATATTATTATAATTTATTATATACATATCATGACGTTTTAAATATTTTTCAAAGTGACGATATGAAGAAACAATTAAAGAATTGCTCAATTTATTGTCTTTTCATCATGGTGTAACATTTAATATAACCAATAGGTTTAATCATATAATTACATCAAAATTTCAATTAAAAAATGCATTAGATTTTCTCTGAAAAGACAAATAAAATGTGTGCCGTAACATGTCATCAAAACTGAATGACAATTAACGTTTTAAAGTTGAGATACTTAGTTTATATAATATGATGCAACAGAAGAGTTATACTTTATCTTATTCAGGAAACTTTCAACAGATGAAAGAAAACTTATTTCATAAATTTAATTTTCAAAATTTGAACCACAATTTATTTCATAAATTTAACTTTCAAAATATGTATTCCAATTTATTTCATAAAGTAAACTTTCAACAGAGGTATTACAATTTATTTGATTAATTTAACTCTCGAAATATGTACTACAATTTAATTCTTAAGGTCAACTTTAGACAACTTTCTATTTTAAAGTCAGACGAACATATATTAAAAGATTTTAGAAATAGAAAAAGATTTTTGGTAAATAGTGTTTCTTACTGTTATTTTTCAAAATGCCTAATTATCTACAATTGCAAAGTAAAGATTGTACTTGTAACTAAAATTAAAACGAGAGAATAAAAATTAAAATAAATAAATATATAAAATAAAAAATCTTACCATGTTTGATTGTCTAAACCTAAATCTAAATTTTATATTAGATAACAAAGATAGCAACCCCTGTTTATGTATTTTACTACGTGAAGAAAAACATATTCACATGATACGTGCACTGTCACATGACTTCTGCAAAGAGGCATGATAAGTTCATTAAATACGTTTGCTTACATGTTGCTAAATTTCCGAAAAGTTTATTATTTTCTTTCTATGTTAAAGGGATTCAAATCAGGGGTTTTGTTTTTACATGTCGCAATTGGCAATTATTTTTCGAGATTAATATTTCATTTGAAATAGATCAAAACTTATTATATCTGCGCAAAATATCAGGTCATTCGCCCATTTCGTTTTAAAAGACTTATTATTCTTGTTGTGAAAATTGAGCCAAAATTGAAAAGCGTTGCAACCCAGATCTATTTATGCGATTTATTTCTAAGATTATTTCTTATTTATCTTTCGCTTAGTCATTTTTTTTGTTTTAAGTGCCCCAGTAAGTCTTTATAAGAAATTCAATTTTCATGTTTTGAGGCTTTTAGACTACAGTGGAGTTGTTTTAAGTTATATAGAATATGATGCAAAAATCATAAATGCACAAATTGTAATCAACTCCAGAAATGACCTAAATATATTTAAGCACAGAAAACCAAAACCTTTATTTATTCAAATTATTTTACTGTACAATAATTATGATTTTGTACAGGCGAAGCTTCATTCTTGCACCGATTTAGCTTAAACAAACTAATTACAAATTCAGGTTTATTTCTGAATAACCAAAATAAGTCACCTGGTAAGCCACTACAAGTGGAAATTTATAAACTCTTACCATTACCTAAAACAATATTTAAAAATTCAAAAAACAACAAATAGCACACAGAATTTTATTTTTTATGAGTAAAATTATGCAAAATATATATTAAGCACAAAAATTAAAACATAACACTACTGCATTCTAAATTTACTATTTCTGTTTTAATTGTGAAGAAAAAGATGGGTTTGATAAAATGAATTTCTGAACAACGAAGCAGAGACGTATACCTTATTTAAATATAAACGTTACGTTAGAAATTTACTGGTTTTCCATGTAGTGGTTTTTCTTTGCAAACATATTTTTGGCACCTTTCGATGATAACCTCTGTCGTAGTTGCATTTATTATCTGTTTAATTACACGTGATATGCTCAACTTTTTAACGCTTCTTACCACCTGAAATGCGTGCCATATCAGTGACATGTGAAAAATTAGAATAAGATTAAATTCTTTAACCTATAGAAAAAACTGCTTTGGAATGCACAAACAATGATATGCACAATGAATAATATGTTAAGTCCTTGTATGTTTGCTCTTGTTTGGTTATCACTCCGGTTTACACTATTTTGGTTAGTAAATTGAAGGATTTTCTAAAATAATGACATTTATTTCATATAACTTCTAATTAAGTTTCTATACCTTTAAATTGGGTCATTGCATATACTTATTATAACTTCCTAATTATATTTGTATCTCCAAATTTACCATGATAAAATCTTATTTCAGTATTGAACTTTATACTCATTAAGTATCCCTTATAAATACTTTAGAGACTAATAGGTGTAAGTTCGTATTACGTTTCATAACAGTTAGATCAATAAATTCTTTTTATATGTATCAGTTGGACCACAATATGTCCGCTAGGGTTTTCTTTAATTTATAAAAAATATGGATATTTATAAGATGTGTTAAAATTACAATATTTGAATGAATTTATTTCCTACATTAGCGGGGGGACTAAAAAAACGAATGACAAGCGAAAGAGAATTCGGTAATTTAATGTGAAATGAATAAAAAAAACGTATTTTTGTGCTATTCTTAGCCCGATTAGAGTAAAAACGTTGCAATACTTTTCAATTTTTCAATTTATTTTCACGATAACAATAAAAATTCTGGAAACGGATCAAGTTACTTATCTCAATTGTTGTAAAATTGTTTTGGTTGAAGGACAACAAATGGAACATTAATGATGAAAACATACTTACAGTACCATCATGCCATAACACCTCAGTGGAATCCTTTTATCCTTGAACTATTTTGTTTGAATTTAGCTGACTAAATGCCACATTCCCACAACATTCAGCGATCACTAAGCTCCGTCTTATTAACAAGACGATTTTGTACCTTATATCGTTCGTAGGAGGCCTAAAGAAAGATTTATCGACAAAATAAAAACAAAACTAATGATAAATACTCGTATTTAAAGACACTTTTACCGTCCCTTAATGTGCATGATTTAGATTTAAAGCTTTGAGTAAATAAATGATTTTTTTTCAAAAATGCTCACTAGAGTTGCCCTCAATAATGTTTTAATTAAGTGCCATTTTTTTTTCAATATTATTCAATACTGATGAATTATCTTGCCGTTTATTTTAAGCTATAAGATTATAGGATATGCCTATTTATGAAGGTTTGATAATTATTTAGTCAATACTGGTTAAGATTAAAAATAAAAAATATCAAATATTGGTGTCAGTTGAACATTTCGCTGTGACTAATAATATTATCTGCTCTTAACATGCATTTACATCAGAATAGAAAAAGGCAAACTAACCATCGTTTTCAAAAAAGGGTTTGATAATTCCTTATTTAATATCTCGTTTTTCAAATAATTTTCTTCAGCTATTGCACGATATTAAGTAGTGCACCACGTAAATATATGTGTATGTCATTTTTCCTCTGTTCCCAATCTTTGCTCTAACATTGTCTGTTTTATCTTTGGTATTTCCGTACATATTGTGTTTATGGATTTATTTTCCTCTAATTACTATAAAATAGAAACTCAAATTTAATTCAGGACAAGGTAAACCTCATCTAGAAACGCTTTAAAATAATAAAAAATATAGTAATAGATATTAATTTTGAGTAATTGTTTTAGAAAAAATACACGGGTCGAATTCAAATGTGTAGAAATATAATAACAAAGGCCGACACGAATGTGAAACATCGCCCATGATACAGGTATTGTTATTGCTATATAGTAGGTTGCTCGCTTACCTCGGCAAAAAGAATAACCATACATAATATAAGGGCAATTAGAATATCGTAGAGGATCAAACCACATTCAAACAAGATGATTATAATGTTTATTACAAATGCATGTATATGGTGCTTGTTTCAAACACGTTTAATCAATTGTTTGTATTATTCACTTAATGACACTATCTGTGGTGTAAATAAACTGTATATTTGTTTTACATTTTTTTTTGTAAAGTTTCAAGCACTTAAATTGGACCTATCCATTGAAAGAAATACCAAATGCATCTAAGAAACGAGCTTATATAATTTTTTCCATGTACCAGGGCACATAGTACCCGTGTTTTGAAGTCGGTATTGATATTTTATGGTGTTGAATCTTCAAACAGTTTCAACTTTAATTTATTATTATTACATAGTCCCACTTAGTATAAGTTTTAAAATTGCATACGCGTAGGTCTAAAACAAAACCATAAATCTGTTTCAACGTTAGATTGTGTGCACCCTAAAAATAGACATAATCATTTTCAAGTACAATGAGCTCTTAATTGCTCCGCGCCCACAGGCGCGGAGCTATTTGTGTTTACTATTTTTTTTGTCCATGGGCCCGGATTTGAGCAATAAATCCTTTCGATTGACAGCTAAAAGTAAATCCGCATTCAAGAACTCCTTTCGATTTCTATATTGGTTTCCCCGTCGGTGATTCGCAGCATGTCAGAACCGGAAAGCAGTTCTGCTGTTACATAAATTCGAAAGCTATAAATAGCTATAAATGTTCTGATTTTATAAATTTGTTATTTCCCTTTTTTAGTAATACATGAAATAATAATTTGTTACATTTTGAATTACATTTACACACAGCATACCAAGTATACTATTAGTGATTGAATTTGTCAATATAATGAAGATTTCAGGCATAAGATTTTAACAATTTTGCTTTTGATAATTATTTTTAATTTATATTTATGAAATCAAATGTTTAATAATAACATGTTGATATATTGGTTGTTTTGAAATAATTAAACTTTAGTATATAAGGCTACATTTCATGAGCGTCATTGGTACAGCATACCACTTTGTGAAAAAGAAAAAAAGTTAATGGTATGACTGGTGACTTGTTGGTGGTCCGTACTCGACAGCGAAAGCTGCATTTTATAGCCTTACGAGTGGATGGACTCTCATTAAGGTGGTTTCGCTTTGTCAGCCATGTTTGTTTTCACAAAGTCTGTTCAAAGTGAAAGTAGACTAAAATTCATATAACAACAAAGCTCACATTGTTATATGATGAGCCATTTGCAAGAACACTTCCAGTTCTACACTTAACAAATCTTATAAGTGTGCATGTATAAATGGTATCATGGGTGTATCAATATTTGCCCGATCCTGCTGAAATGTTCAATAAATACATAAAAGAGACATGTTATCATTTTTATTAAGTATTTTTTATTCAAGATACAAATTTAAGATTTAATTTCTAAAAAATGTGAATGCGTGTCGAAATTCGATGTTGCAAAATGATGTCCTTATACTGTGTTAGCCCACCCCGACTGTGTATTTCAGCTCGGCAGCGTCGTCACATCGATCTTACATACCGTTGTAGATAATTTTGGGGTTGGTGAGGAAGGTTACCAAAGAAGTTGCTCTGTACTTTATGATTAGCCTTCTTATAAATTGGGTAGTTTGGTGTACACCATGCCAGGCGCAACCTACAAATGATACATACAAGTAATTACTAAATAAAAATATGCATTTTATGTTCGTCTTTGATAGAAACTGAATTTAAACGATTTTCGGCTTTTACAATGCAAAGGAATGAAAATAATCATTTAAACAAATAAATTTTGTTACCAACCTCTGTTTGGTGTACACCAGCGTTGACCAATCCTAGGGCTATGTCACGTTGTTGTATAGATAATCTACCCATGTGGTGTTTTTCTGATATGTGGATCTCTATCGTATCCGAGAATATCATGTGCAATATTATTTCACCCATTCTCACATTTTTTTCGTGCAAAGTGTGAATTTCGTTCGTACATGGTTGAACGCGTCTCATAATTAAAATTGACATGCTTGAGCATATGAAATGTGTGGAAATGCAGCCAATAGTGAGAACACAAAATTTTGTAAAAATATATTGT